CTCCCCCAATGGCTGCAGTCCCCCCCATCCCCAATGACAACCCCCCCCAGCACAGGAGGAGAGGCAGGAGATGCACATTATGAAGAGGCGACCCCCCTCCTCCTCCCTAGAACTCCCCTTACCGCTTCCCTCGGCGTGGAGGAGCAGGGCTGTGAGCTGCTCTGAGAGCAGCAGGGGCAGCAGGCGGCCAGCCATGGTGCCCACCCGCGCCTCTGCGGCGACCGGGTGGGATGGGACAGGGAGCGGACAGGAGCTGAAGCGTCCACGCACACACGCACCCCCCCCGCGCTGGGAGCGACTGAAGTTGTGTTGCTTCACCCTGCCCAGAAATAGCGGAAGCGCCCTTGATGGGGGGAAGCCGCCGGCAGGATTTCTCTGCAAGGGGACTGACGTGATGACTATTTATTTTTTTTTTTTAATGAGGAAGGGAAGTCTGCTTTCTTAACTGCACTTTCCGAGGGGAGAGTTGAATCGTGCCCTTGGCAAGCAAGCAGCCCTGGCTGAGGGTGGCTTTGCCGCCCACCAGAGCCCTGGCCGGCCCTGGCAGGTGTGGGGCTTGGCACGACACCGAGCCTGGGCTGGAGGGGACGATCGAACCTGAGCTCCCAACCAGGGCAGCCACTGACCGACCTCCAAAACACGCGCTGCCCTTGGCAGCCCCCTCTTGCTTTTCCAATATTGCTGTCCCACACCGTGACCTGTTGACTCAGTGCTTTATATTTCCTGGCTCCGGCGTCCTCCGTCTCGAGAGCCGTCCCCAATAGCCCCATTACCACCTCACAGCTCGTACCTCGTGGTAGGAAGGGACTCCGCCTGTTAAACCAGGCTTACCCGTGGGAAAAACACTCAGGGCGGATTACTTCAATCTTCCCTTTCCTGCTGTTTGGCTGTTTGTTTATTTCTTCACTAATAGCTAGAATCTGTAGGGTATGTTTTCATAGTGTCAGACCTGTTATTTCTCAAGCCTTCGGAATTTGCTGCCTGCCCTAATTCAGTTAAGCGCTTAATAGGAATAATATACTGCTTCTTCTATATTGGTAATGCAGATTAAAGAATGCACAGTTTTTATCTTGTGTATGTACCATATAATGACAAAAAAAATTTCCCTAATAATACAGTACAGCTGATCATAATTTTTCTACTTGCTGGTAAGTTTTTGTGATTGAGCTCATATTCAGTGAGATTTAAATGATTCCAAAGCATATGACTTTATTAGATTATTTTCTAATTTCATCAGCAATTTTACCTGCCATCATCTCCTTCACTTCTTGGCAGTTTTTACACTTACAATGGGAAATACAGTTTTTAATGGTGTAGTCTGCTGTAATTCAGAGTTCCTCAAGTAATACCATTCACACAGTAAGGCTCTAGAGAATTATCTCTGGTCTGTATTTTGCCCATGGTCAGATAATTACCCTCTTCTCTCCCCAGACAGCAGAACAGAGGGCAAAATTTGGGTGTTAGACTGAACAAAAAATTAAACATTCCTCTTCTATTTGTTCTTATTCGGTATTAAATAAGATAATACTGTGGCAAAGGAAAGTTAAATCAGTGATATTCTTCACTATACACAAAATTAGGGTTTAATACTACAGTCACTAACTTTATTGCAATAATATTTGATGCAAGAGGACTGTAATGAAGCTTTCAGAGCACATCTGTAAAAGTGAAATTAACTTTTTCCCTGCTGTTATGTGCTGGAGAGTCTTTACAGTTTCAAATTTGCCTGTTGTCACTGCAATTTTAAGATGAGGCTACTTTAATATAAGCTAAAGCAATTCTTTTCTATTTTCTTCCCTATTGTGCAATTTTATTACAGAACCTATTGTTGCAGGAAAGTGTGAAAAACAGAAGCATAAAAGAGGTTTAAAAGAAATTGCACACATTTACGGCGAATAAGTTCGTCATGACTATTCAACATAATGCAACTTATTGCTCAGGAAACCCTTACATCAGCGATTACCAGAAGGGAAGGTCACGGTGTGCCTGGTATGTTACCAATAGTCCTTCTCAGCAGTTAGTTCTACTCATTATCAGAAAATAGATACAGAATGAAGGACATCATTGAGTATTTTTCAGTATGGTTATTCTGTGCACTATTTGCATACACAAATTTACAAACAACAGCAATATAGAAGTTATTTAATATATTCAGATAGACATTAGCCTAGTGCTGAATCATTTTTAGTGGTATGGGTATTATATACTCACATCCACATATAGGGAAATTTTTCATGAGAAAATGTTGCGGGTTGGATTAAGGGGAAATAACACTGTTGAGAAATGCTCAGAATCAATATCATTAATCCATGTGGTTCTTTAACCAGTTAATGTATTTGGATACCCTTGTATAAACTCCATAGCTGCCTTTAACAGCACAACCCTTCCCCCAGCTGACAATCCCAGTTAGAAACCAAGTGTCCTTGTACTTTGTGGCATGAGGTCCGCCACTGTCACCCTTGCAAGAGTCTTTAGTGCCGCTCAGATCTCCTGCACAGAACATATTCTCGGTAATATTTAAATCAGTCTCCTTTTCACATTCTTGGGTCTTCACACGTGGCAAATCAACTCTCATCAGAATAGAGGAAGTAGCACCTCCATCTAACAGGCGACCCCATCCGCTCACCGTGGAGAACTTAATGGAGGACAGCTCATACACCGCAAACTGTTTCTCAGGCAGGCATATTGGTACCACGTAATCGGTGAGGTTCATAGCTGTTTCCAGTCTCAGCAGGGCAATATCATTATTAACTTGCCCGATCTTGTATTCTTCATGAATGATCATCCTGGTAATTCCACTTTCTTGTTCATGTTTTTCATCCAAATGTATTGCGTGTTCACCTGGAAAATGATTAATCCCAGATAATGTCAGTCAGTTCCTTGATTCCTCAGATGTTTTATGTTTTGGAAATAGGAGATTTCTAGACTCACATTTCTAACAGACACTCTTCTACTATCAAAGTCTGTAGTCTTTTTTCTTTTAATTTGTCTCGACTTTTTTTTTCTTTTTTTTTTTTTGGGCAATCTGGATTGTCAGGCCTGTTACACAGAATCACAGAATGGTTGAGATTTCTAGAGATCATCTTGTCTAACACCCCTGCTCAAGCAGGGTCGCCTAGAGCACTTTGCCTAGGATCCTGTCAGATGGCTGCTCCAAGGCTGGAGACTTCACTGCCTCCCTGGGCAACCTCTTCCAGTGCTCTGTTGCCCTTACAGTAAATAAGTTTTTCCTCATGTTTGTATGGAATTTCCTGTGTTTCAGTTGGTCTTTGTTGCCTTTCATCCTGTTGCTGGACACCAGTGAAAAGAGTCTGCCCCCACCCTCTTGACACCCCCCGCTTTGGATACTTATACACATCTTTAAGATAGCCCCACTCAGTCTTCTCTTCCCCATGCTGAACAGGCCCAACTCTCTCAGTCTTTCCTTATAGGAGAGATGCTCCAACCCCTTAATCATTTTAGTGGACCATTGCTGGACCCACTCCTTGTTTCTTTCTTACTGAGGAGCTCAGAACTGGACACATGCTCCAGATGTGCCCTCACCAAAGCTGAGTAGGGGGGAAGGAGGATCACCCCTCTAACCTACTGTCAATTCTCTTTCTAATGCACCCCAGGATTTCACTGGCCTTCTTGGCCTCAAGGACATATTGCTGGCTCGTGGTTAAAATGTTGTCCACCAGGCTTGCCAGGTCTTTCTCTGCAGAGCTGCTTTCCTGCAGGTCGGCCCCCAGCCTGTACTGGTGCCTGGGGTTATTCCTCCCTAGGGGCAGGACCCTGCACTTGCCTTTGTTGAACTTCAAGAGGTTCCTCTCTGCCGAACTCTCCAGACTCAATCACAGTAGGAGTAACTGGTGTAAATTGGTAGCAATCCATCAGTAATCAAACTGATTACTGCATACTAAAGTGGAAGCTTGAAAATATGAGGAAAGATACATACCCAGCCTCACCCGAATCTCTGTCTCACGGACATGGTCCAAACAGTGAGCTGCAGTGACCACCCACTCAGGGGAAAGCAAGGTACCTCCACACTTTTCTTTCTGATTATGTATTATAAGGGCCTGACAACACAAAACAGAGTGATATATTACTCGAAGGTGTTTGTCTTGAATCTCAGTAGTGTCAGGTTTTATGCTGCTTCTTTCTGTCATTTTATACAACTCTATTTGAAATACTGACCAGATTGTTTAGGAAACTTAGGAGTGGGGAGACTTCCCACTGAGATTTTCTCCACCTTACATTATGGACACTTCTTATTATGGCCAAAAGTACAGCCCTGCAAGCTTCAACTAAAATTCTTGCTGACAGTAAGATTAAGGATTAAGGGAAGATATAGGAGGCTGAATTACTACCCCACTCCTATGAAGGCAGACACTCCAGAACAAGGCTAAGATGCATAGTTGGAATAAGTGGGTCTGCTTCCTACAGGTAAGGAGGAAATTTGGCTGTCCAGACATGGCACTTTTTATGGGCTTAAAAATAATAGATTTAAAGTAATGAATTTGACATAATTGTTGCAGAAGAAAAAAAAATGTGATAAAGAATCTTGAAGACTCACTTGCCATGGACATTCACCTGGAGGACAGACGAAACCACCTACTATTCTCCCTTCTGCAGTTGCATTTTTTTTTGCCAACACTGGTATTTTTCCACATGGATATTTCACTGAAAAATATATCAACTACAATTTTATTGCAATGAATTCACAGAAACATTTGTAAGACTATTTCCTATTAAATATCTCCAATAAAGTTATGCTAGCTGAAAAGCCAGTCTCTAGTCTGAAGCATAGGTTCTC